ATCCCTCATGTCTCCCCCCAGCACCGGCTTGAGTGGTACTCATTTCTCAACACTAAAAAGTGTTGTTTGTAAATATTCATATATTCAGATTGTAAGCTTGTTTTGACGTGGTCTTTTGAGAATTATTTTATGATACAATTATCGTCACCTCAATCTCGACGTCAGATTGCACTATAATCTCCTAGGGAAGTTTGCAATTTTAACGCTGTCGATGCTCAAGAACAAGTATTATATCTAGAGAGATCTTAAAGACATGATATGGCACCAATTATCTTTATACATGCGTCTGCTGTTGTTAGACACAGATGGGTTCACTATATGCTTGCATAATACATGATAAACTGTTTCTGTATTCTATGGATTACATTTCACATTTTTTTTTGTTTCTTTGTTTGTTTGTTATGTAAATGTCTTTTTGCAGACAGTTTTTAAAGTGAATTGGTCTATAGCAATACGTCTTTCATATTAGAAAGTTTATTAAAACATCAAGCCATGAAACATCCTTTCGACTTCTTTCCAGAGAAAAAAAAACGTAATACGTCTTGTTTTATCAAATCATATGAAATCACCTGATACCTTCCGATAAAAAGGGTGACAAAAAGATGAGAAGAAAATGTGTTTAAAAAAACTCTTATTTTGCTGATAATAAGTGGCAAACTGTTTTATCTGAACAGATTTTCTTCAGTCTTTGCATTTCTTTTTATTTTAGTTGTGTATATTAAAATATTTAATGCACATTTGATCTACGAGTGTTTGACGACACAATTTCTTCTGTTACGCTATATGGGTAATATTATTGAATACTTAATACGTTGAGAGATATTTTTTCATCAGTACTCTAGCTAACATATTTGTATAATGTATATATGTGCTGTGTAGAGATAAAAATCAGACTGTACAACTCGTATTATTTGTGCAAAAAAGACATGTGCTTTGAGTCCCTGTAACTCCATGGAATTTACTTCAAACTTTATGGATATAGGTTTTGTTACTGTAAAACATAGTTTCTGGTATCGGTTCAGTCAATAAACAAGCGGAAATAAGAATAAGTACTCCTATTCATTTTCTTCACCATAGTGAATAATTCTTTGTTTCTAAATGTGGATTATATATGGTTCGTAAGTCAATGTTGTAGTTAAAGGGTTAAATTGTATGGTATGGTAAATTTGATATTGCTTTCATTTCTCCTCGGTTCTAAACTGATATTGGACATTCGATGCCACGGAATAGTGTTTAAAAGCTACGCGCAATAACACAGGGTTTTTTAGAATTTCATAATACTCACCTCGGCTTATAAATGATGCGATATATATTAAACAATTGTCAGAAAATGTTTTTATACAAATAAACAAACCAGGACAAGGTAATCAAAATAGTTGATTCATAAGTGGTGGATTTTTTTCTGGAAATTAGACTCCTCTGTGAGTAAAATCGTGGGTATTTGGATTTTGTCACTATTGTTTTTGTTTTTTATTTATTTCAGTAAAATATGCAATGATTTTAAGAGATATTGAAACCAAAGTCTAATTGTAGCTATTATTTGGTTTTGTACATTTAATTAAAATGTAGCAATTTGATTCATGAATATGGACATTATGATATTCAGTTAACTTGTTATAATTGTCCAACAGTGTCATCTAATTTTTATCTTTTTTTTTTTGAAGATTTGCTTTCGATTCTTTACATTATAAGCATTTACTATATGACTATACGGCTTTATCAGAACATTCTTGTTGTCATATATGCATATAAAGCAGCTGTATATAATCAAAGCATATTTTACATGATGTTTAAGTTGAGAACAACCATTGACCTTCATAATAAAGGTGTTTGAAAATTAAACTATAATTTTGTTCTCTGTTTTACCGAATGAAATAAATATGTTACTTTTAAAGCTGTGAAATCTGTTCTAAAATATGACACGATATAAAAAAAAATCTGAAATTTACATATTTTTTATTTCCATTTGGATGTTGCGTGTATTATGTCTACCTGGGAATTGTCTTTGATACTAGGGTGTGTATATTTGAGATTATGCTGTTTCATATAACCTCACAAATGTGTTTACATCTGTATAATTATATAAAAGCATCAGATGTAAATGATATTTGCATCCAAGGCTTGTCTCAAGAGGCAAACTATTTGTAAATGCTTAGAGCGGTTGAAATTAAATATTTGTATTTAAATTGTGACAGAGAGTTTTTTTTATAATTCATAGGTGACATGATAATGAAATATTTTCATTAAATATTAAAAGCGTCATTTAACTTTTTTCAAAACAGATTTTATTACAAGATTTCATCTATGAAATTGCACCATGTTTGTATAATGCATATTTCTTTTTCCATATATCTCAGTGAAACAATGATAGTTCTGATCGAATTCATAAAAAATTGCAAAGTAAAATGATAATACAAATGTTACTTAGTACTTCTATAAGTTCACTTCTTTATATAGAAGTTTATGGTGGCCTCCATGACCGAGTATTTAAAGTCGATGGCTACGAACCATGGCGTCTCAACGTTGTGGGTTCGGTTCTTTCCCGTGAGGATGCTATCTAGCTAAGTGGTTCTACTCAGGTGATGGCAGCCGAGGTTCTCCCTCCACCAGGAAAGTTGCCGTATATAATCATAGCAGTATCGATAGGACTTCCGGGATTTTCAGAGTTAAAAACTTATAATATCTACAAAATGATTGATATTGACAATGTTATAATGTTCCATATTGTGTATATATAATATATAGTTATTGGGAGCTATCATATAAATATCCTCTTATTTATCATTAAATGTATATCTTTTACGTGTATATATTAACAACAAATTATTTTACATGTATATCTTAATAAAAGATCAAATGTATAAATTATTTTACATGTATATCTTTATAAAAGATCCATGTATATCTGCGTTACATGTGTATCTTAAAAGCCACTTCATGTTTATTTTATTGATAAATCATTTCACATGTATATCTTAATCGTCAATCATTTTTAATCTTTATCTTGAGAAAAAAGCGATTATTTGTCCTTTTAGCAAAAAGGTTCCGATGAAAATAATTTTATTCCTTATGGTTCTTATGGTATTTCACAACTCTTTTTTAAAGTAGATTTGTCTACAATGTACACATTTTCTATAAGTATTGCAAATGTTGATAAAACGAAATGAAATGTTTCACTTGAATATTCTTATAAAAAATTTCTTGAAATAAACTTGGTAAAGTTTTAAGTGATTTTGTATGAACATTTATATGATGAAAACATATATACTGCTGTAGATGAGGTATAAATACATGTAATATCAGATTATGTATCCATATATTATTAATCTGTGGGTTGCTTTATATCTAATACTAAATACTTTCAACGTTCATGTAATTATTAATACGTTTAACAAAGGTTAATAAAGGTTATTCATTAATTAATTAATTAATAAAGGTTTAACAGACCTTACATAATCGACCAATTCACTTTAAAAGATTAAATGTTGCATTTTTTTGAAAATTCGAATTTATTTCATTTTTTAATTAAACGAGAAAAAAAACATTGCTTAATCTTATTTTACATGTTTATTGTACATTGTCTGTATTTCACAATTACTGTGCATATAAGCAGATATACTGATAACTCAAATAAAATATATATTTTAAAAAAAGACAAGAACGGAAAACAAATTCTAATAAAAATTGTTTTGACTTAAGTTGACTAAGTGTTAACTAAATGAACTTTCTATTTCCTTTGTCTGTGGCTCTCATAAAAAAACGTGTTGACGTGTTCTTGGTATAATTCATTTGTTTTATCGTCATACGAAAAGCATGTTATTATGTCCCCATTATGTGCCATTATTTTCCCTTTTATTTATGACACCCTGTCGTGAATAAAAATCCTGAAAGCTTGGTAATATCCTGGTATAAAATATGATTGAACTATCTCAAGAGCAAATATATTAATATCTGCTATTTAGTGTCATTCCGGAAGGAACGGTCTAATGATAACACCGTAATATTTTATATCCTTGTCATCCCTTGTATAACTAACAAATCTTTGTCTAGCTCATTTAAATCACTCGGCCTTCTGTAAAGCAAAAATCTTTTGACAGCAACAATACTTTCTTTCTTAATAAAGAATTTCTTATATTTTTACCTCTGTAGAGCATCCCTCCTAAAATCTAAGATGTTCGTCTACCAAAGGGTGTTGCTCTACAGAGGTGATACTGTGGACTGCAAAATACTTATTGATAAGTTTATTCAGTATGAAGCTGACAAAAACCCTGAACATGGTGTCCATAGAGTAAAAGCAGAAGACTTATGGCTCATATAAACTTCATTTTATAGAAACGTTATTGTTACCATGGTTATAGCCGTGGTAATATTAATTTGTTCCCTAGATTAAAAGATGTAACAAATGACTTCGTCTGTGTATATTAGCTTAACCTAAGGCTCCATAGATTTAATCTAATTTTGTTATCTGCAGTCTAAACAGTTATTGTCACCTAACTGAGAATTATCAGATTGCACAATGTACACCTGGGAATGGATTTTTAATTTCCAATTATTCTCCAAAGACATTGTTAAGAGAAGCAGTGTTAAAGACAACAACAGAATCATATTATAGGCATAACTGCAAGTGATACAAGACTGATAATGTTGGAATTGTTACATCGTCACTAAAATTACTATTCGTCATTCGTCTGTTAGCTTAAGCTAACATTAAGTAGCAAGTGTTACTCGATCTGAGCAGTTTTGTGTGAGGAATGTACTTTATACTTCTAATTATTTTTTAGAATGATCTCATTTCACCTATTTACGGTTTGCAGACTCAGACAAACGCTCGTTATCAGCGTGGTAGAACGAGGCAATCTGTTCGATGTGGCTAAAACAGATTCGATATGCGTTCTCGTCCGAACAATAGAATTACAGAAATCTATTGTTCCCAAGGAAGTTTTCACTTAACAAAATGCTCATTTTGCTGATTATTTCATGGCAATTACATTTATTTCCAGCTTATAATGCCGTTGTGTTGGTGAGACGATAACAATAATCGGCGCTGATATTCTCCTAACCGTGTAATTTGTCCATACCGGAAATGAGTTGACTGATGTGAATTCTTGGGGAAGAAAATGGAACTTCTTATAATGGCTATTCTGATTGTAAAAGGTAATAAAACGAATTATTTTTCGTTCTTCTCTGTCGCAATGCAATTAAGCTTTTGGCTGATATTGTGTGAAACACAATATGGTCTTATAAGATCAATTTTATTTTCTGGTGACGAATTTTTATCGTTCTGCTTGTCTACCAAGAACAGGTATATATTTGTAATGAAGGAATATGCAATGTTTAAATATATCTAATATGCCATAAAATAAATTAAGAAACGTTAAAGAATAGCAAACAAGGCAAAGTCAAACTTTTTAAAACTATTTAATATTTCTGTAAAGCTTTAACAGTCGTCAGATGATACTTATGCGGACTGTCCCGCGACATCATCACGTTTCGGTCCGCTGACATAACCATACGGTTCTCACGCGCATACTGGGTGCCAGGGTTTAGTTTCTTTATATTTTATGTCTAAAATACTTTTTCCAAAACCTCGGTTGCGTCAGTCGTTTAGGGTGAACAGCTGTTATCCAGCTGGTCTGGTTGGATTGACTGTAGTGGTTTATTAAAAAAACATCAAAGAAAACCTAACAGCGGCTTAAACATTACTTAAATACCTTTTGCACGAAACATTCATGCTTAATTAGTAGCATTTATGACTCAAATCGTTTAATCAAAATGTTTACTTTGTCGTCAATATGAATTAATTGCATTGCGTTTACTGTAAAAACTGTCAAAGTCCACATATCAAACATAGATTATTGAATATTTTCTTACATTGATTATAATGCTAAAAGACTGCAAAATTGCCGTTTTAAGATATTAACCAGATATTAAAGGACTTCCACTAAGGTAAAAAAGCTTAAAACATAACATAAGAAATTCTTACATATCTCAAGTGAAAAAAAAACCTGCAATGATAATAAAGACATATGCTCAGATGTAAATTTAATATGGAAGTTTTTGCTCGCTTCTATGTCCGATTAAAAAAAAGCGTTTCGTTATTGGTTCATTTTGCTCAATACAAATGATGAAAAACATGATGAAAGAATGATTAGAAATCTTCACACAAATTATTAATCTAGACCTACATCATGTAGCACACAATTCCCGAAAACATTTCAATCGCATCAAAAGAAAACGCAATGGAGTCTTTTCAAAATATAAAAGCTATAAGTCTCATGTTTTTCTTAATATTTAAAAGGTGGAAATGTAACGTATAAATATATTGTTTTGAGGTTGTTTGTGTTTTAAAAAGAAAAACAGGTATGCTTCTTGAAAAAAAGAATCTGATGTTAACAATAATTAATTTGAACATATTGTAAAAGAAGTTATCGTATACAGGTGAAATGGTATTGTTTATTAAAGAATATGATGCTGTGAAAATTAAAGCAGTGTGCGTATATGTCATAGTATAGTGTCATGTTCTGTTTTATTTGTTATTAATGTAAGGAGATATTAAAATGCAATTTAAAGAGGCGAGGATTATTAAAATTGTTGATTTTAACCAGAGATCTGTTTGAATTGTACGATTTGTGTTTTAATAATTAGTAAAGGATTTGTCATCTCAACTTTGTAATGCATGCTTTTTCTTTACAAATCATCTTATGTGACGAGACTGAAATATGACAGTTTCAGTTATATGAATATCAACATATTTTCACTATTTCATTATTATATTTCAGGAACCTTGACATTTGGAGATGAAAACGAGTATAGACTGGTCCGCGATTTGTTCAAATCATATGACAAAAGAGTTCGACCGTCGAATCATTACAGTAAACCCGTCAATATGACGTATGCAGTAGCTTTAGCTCAAATCATAGATGTGGTATGATATATTTTAAATCACATTTGAGCCGCGTCACGACAAAACCAACATAGTGCGTTTGCGACCAGCATGGATCCAGACCAGTCTGCGCATCCGCGCAGTCTGATCAGGATCCATGCTGTTCGCTGTCAGTTTCTCCACTTGTAATAGAGTTGGTAAGCGAACATCATGGATCCTGATCAGACTGCGCGGATCCATGCTGGTCGCAAACCCATTATGTTGGTTTTGTCATGACGCGGCTCATTTATTTCATGGACATTAAGGTGTACTCATTTATCAACATTTATACTGTTTATCCCTTTTTAAATTATTGACTATCTGCTTTCTTTATAACATAATTGTTTATTTTTTTTACATTATCTTTGTATTTCATTTTTTAATTGGAACATTGAGTCGTTTTATCATATTGTATGTTTGGAATCGAACGTTTTTGCATCCATCAAGATTCACAGTATATCGTGATGTTACAATATGTTTCTGACTTTGATTGTATGCAGATATCTGAATGGAATCTAGATGTAATTGATAGGACAAATTAGCCCAAATATTCATTGCAGCAGAGTTTTAGCTGATATCGTAAAAAGTCCATTTCCTTTCATACCATAATAAAGCAATTTTAGTTCCGCAGAACAATGTTGATTATGGAAGATATGATTTCGTCTGGATGTAATTATTGTTTCTTTTGTTACAATCAGAACAAATAAAACTAGTTGTACATTTTATCCTAAATGTAATTCAAGCAATCAAGGAAGTGTCTGAACTAATGGAATTGTAGGTTTTTTCTTCCTAAAGGTATTCTAGTATTGAGGGCAAGAAGCATGATTTTATGAACACAATTGTATGAAAAAGTAACCTTTCACTCGAAAATGCTTAAAATAAAACGTGCAGTCTTGAAACTTTTACCACTGCGACACTGTCATTTTAGTCTATTATATCATTTTGCATTGTTGTTGCTGTTTCTAATATATGTGATGTTTGTTCTTTCTTTCCTGTTCAAAATGTTCAAATATTCAATTGCTCCATCGGCAAGACGGCTTACTATTTTGTTACTCTTATTTCACATTTTATCACTATAAATCTAAAATAATGTTTACTGTTTTATGACTAACGAACTACAAATATTACAAAATATGTTTCTTCTTCCGGTAGATTCTCTTTTATCCGTGGTTTTGTTATTTACAATTCTGACACAGTTATGTGAAACAGCCGTTGTATCTTGGAATTTGAAAACATTTTGAATAAATAATGTATTGTCGTTATAAAGAAAATGTATGGCTCAGAAATGATTTAATTTTCTTTAGAAAGGAGAAACATAAGTTTATACCATTAAAAAAGATTTTAGAGCACATTTTATCAAAACATTATGTGTCTTGAATGTTATGTCTGTCGTACATTTTCAACCAAAACCTTTCTTCCATTTATGTAATCATTAAAGGCATAAATCATGTTTGCAAGTGTGATTTATTGTTAATGCAATAAAAAATATTATAATAAATTAGCATTTAATCATTTAAATTCTACATATTGTTACTAGTAATTAACTGATTTTAATTTAATATCCTTTGACAACAATGTACATTAAATTGAAATTTTTTGCGTTTGTTCATGAGTATGATAATATCTATCATTACTGGTATTATAGTAACTTTAAACTAAATTTCATATTCTTCAGGATGAAAAGAATCAAATAATTACTACAAATTGTTGGCTCAATCAAAACTGGCTGGATCCAAAACTAATTTGGTCGCCAAGCAAATACGGAAATATCACCGTGATACGTATCCCGTACAAAGACATATGGAGACCAGATGTTGTCTTATACAATAAGTAAGATTTCCCAAGCAAATTCGCAGATTTCTAATTTTCTTCCCGGGCGTCAGTGTACGATTTTTGATACAGTAATATGCTTTTATAGGGCACATACTTTACGTAACACCAGCATGATTGTCTTTGATAAAGGATATGGACATTTTTGAAGTACAAACTACTATTACATGTGAATCAAAAATAACATGTAGTGTCTGTCAGAAATCCATCATGCCACAATTACATTAATGTTATTAATATTAATTTATTTAATACAAGACAAATAACCGATTAACAGTTTTGAATAAAAATATCCAGTTACTAACACACGTATAAGGTATCTTATCTTAACAATTCTAAAATACTCCTATTGTTATCATAATATATACATGTATATATTTACAACATGTTTATTTTTTCTGTTATCTTACTGTATTCATATTCTCCTCTCGTGTATTGTTTTCAGTGCGGACGTCAGCTCAACTGTAACATCTGTCAGTTCAAATGTTATGATTGACCATACCGGAAATGTCACGTGGTTGTCTATGTCTATTTTTAGAAGCTCTTGCTCAATTGATGTTAAATATTTTCCTTACGATATACAAAACTGCACAATGGATTTTGCATCATGGTCATACGGTATTGCCGAGTTAAATGTAATAAGTAAGGACGACAAAGGGGACATTTCAAATTATGTGCCAAGCTCGGAGTGGCAGTTACTACATTATCAACCGAAACGAACACTTGTCAAGTTCTCGTGTTGTCCAGATGATGTGCCTTTCATGAAATACATTATAATCATAAAGCGGAGACCATTGTTCTATCTGTTTAATATGGTTATGCCATGTATTCTGATAACGATTGTTGCTCTTCTTGGATTCTACATGCCCCCTGAGTCCGGAGAAAAGGTGTCGATGGGAATTACTACACTGTTATCTATAGTCGTCTTCCTTATGATAGTTGCTGAAAGTATGCCTCCGACATCAGATGTAGTGCCTCTTATAGGTGAGTGTTGAACTATTGAACAAATTATACTGTTGATTGTAGTAAAACATCATTAAGTGACTTAACACAATGTATTAATTAAATCAAATACAACGTATTAAATGAATCAAACACAACGTATTAAATAAATCAATGGATGAATGAACACCAAACAAAATAGATGCGAAGTATCTTTAGTTTGTCTTCTATACAATTTATGCATAAAGACTTTGGTAAATGATTGTTTTCACGTATTTGTTGACTTATGGACCAATAGATCTTTTAAATGGAATGGCACTAGCGTGTCACATTAAAAACGCCATGCATGGTTATCACAATATTAACACATCTGGGGATGTTTTCAAATTCAAAATTTAACCATTTCAAGTTAAATGTTGATTTTTGCTTCGGCCGGGGTACGGTAGCATACAACTTTCAGTTCCGTCAATGAACAGGCAAAATCAAACTGAGCCTGCAACATTATCAATTTTGTCATTTTGGACGTTCTTTAAAATAGTTTTAAAACTCTCTATTTCATATAAATAATTGTGAAGTTAATATAATCTTTATTCATGGCTACCGTCAATTTACGTTTTGAAATAAGAAATGCTGTATAATAAATTCGTTATAAAGATTTGTACAGTCTATAAACATGTATTAAGAAGTTTTCTATATTTCAGGATTATATTACGGTGTAACTATTGCAATTGTATCATCTGCTACGGCTATGACGGTGCTAACGTTAAATATTCACCACAAGGGGGCACGAGGTATAGAGGTACCACATTCAGTGAAAAGAATGTTTTTCGGTATTATTGCCAAAATATTGTTCATAAAGCTAGATCTTCCGTCGCCCCCGCCGGGACCTGGTTTGGTAAGTACAAATACTACATAGCAAAAGTGTCTTCAAATGTAACCATTTACTTTTTTACATATTTCCTGTAACAAGTTATTCATTCGTATCTGTTGTAGTACCAACACGAAGAATCAGCCCAGAATTCTCTTCAATAATCTCTTTATATCGGGAAATGTAATTGTTTCAATTCCCTGATGTTGTTTAAAGTTGTGCACCTTAAGCCTTAACGTCTGAGGAGAGTTTAATACAGTTAAAATCAAATATTTAATGTGGATAAGTAAATAATTCTAGAATATTTCGAAATCTTATTTCATTTTAAACTGATTATAAGAAATAAACGTTTAAATGTAAGGAACGTATAACATAAGAGTAGATATATAACCCCTCTATGAATTATAAAGAGTTTTTGCTTCATTATTTCAGACAATTTTTGGATGATCTCATCTCTTATAATATATATTGAATTTTATTCTTTTCCTGGTATTATGTTAGAGGCTATATAACATATTATCGCACGTGATTTCAGAAGATTTTAAGTACTCCTTGATACAAGAAATTCAAAGTGTTAAATTTAAACAAATTTCCAATATCAACTGTTTGTCAATCACCATTATAACAGACACTTTTTTAAAATATTAAGTCAATTCAGCTCAACTTGACAATGACAAAATGAGCATAATGTCACTTTAATACTTATTGTCTGAATATATTTATTCAAAACCTTTATCTAACATGAAGCATTATATGAAATGAATTAATACAAAAAAAAAACTAAAATTAATTTAAAAAATCAAACATTTTCTTACATACTAGAATAAGGCTATAATTGCATATTAAGTCATCTTGTTTTAACCTATTTACAGTCGAGGATACCACTTCATGACCACTGTCAGTATGACACTCCAGACTTTGATGCAGAGATACCAGCACAAAATGGCGGATTGTCGCCGCGCTTTGTTAACAGACTGCGTGTAGGCGGTGCCACTCCAACCGCGAGTGATAATGTTGAACAACAATTTTTAAAAGTGTTGAAAAAAGTGTATGAAACTATTGAAAGAAATGAAACGAGGTTACAAGAACAAGATAGGAAGGATATTTTAAAACAAGAATGGCAGCAATTGGCGTTAGTTTTGGATAGGCTTTTGTTGCTTGTGTTTATTATAGTAACAGTAACGGTAACTCTAGTTGTGATGATTCCCCAAGATTACACCTTGACATATACACCCACATAGAGAAAGTCAGTGTTGAAAATAACATTCACTTTGTCTTTAGAGGTTCTATAAAAGAAGGCAACTTGCGCGCATATTAATACACAAATGCTTTTTTGCATGATATTTTAGGCAGAATTCATAAAATTTAGATGAAAGAATGATAATGTTTAAGATGTCAATAAATTCAAATTATCTTCTAAGCGGTGCAATTTGTTAGTCGACGTCACGATTGTGATATTGTAAATGACACTGAACATTGTGAGTTAAATATAAGGGCATGTGAAAAAAAATGTATGTCCATTAAACAAACATGTGAAAACAACAATAGTAGGAATTGGATATGTGTATTGTGCTAATATGATCAACAACTTGATCTTTTCACGTAAAACATGAGACATGGGATTGAAACAAGCGTAATGTATTGTGCCATTATGAAGGTTTAGCTGTGTACTCTATATGTTATCGTATTCAAGTAAGTAGCCAAAAACGGAATTTAATGTTACTATTTAGTGGGGAGCTTACATGTATGTATTTAAAGGATCAAGACTAAAATATGTGAAGCCAAGGTTTTAAAAGCGTGTGTTTTATTTAAATTGTAACAGTTGTTTTCCGGCGTTTTACACTGAGTCGACATCATCATTGCAGATAACCGCATAATTAGGAAACAGGGTTTTTCCGAAACGTTCAAATGTTATCCTCGGATTTGTTCATGATTTTAAAACCTTGATGTTTTATTTTGTGTATATAGTGATAGAATATTTTGAAGTCAGCGACTTCACTTTCTTAACTTTTCATGTACTTTTATTAAAATGTAACACATATCATTATAATGAAATATTCAAAGTGATGGTAAACATTTTATCTATATTTAGTATGTGTATAGCAGCATAATATGGCAAAGCACTGAAGGAATTAATTTTCAACTCTACCGGGTATTTTGATAATAAATATACTGACTACCAGTTTTAAAAAGTTGGTCTGCAAATATTAGCATTTACAAATAATGCTAGGAATAGCCGTTCTGTCGGGTATTAGGATTTTTTTTCGTGAAATAGACTTCTTCCAGAACAATAGAGGTCTACTTTAAATTTAGATTCAATTTATTTGTATTCCGACACAAAATATTGCAGTCATTATACTATATTAATTCAGTTTGGCTTAGGGTAGGTGGTGTGTGGGTTGAAATGATCAAATCTTGTTAATTGTATATGTTGTTGTCCAGGAATGGCGACAATAAATACTTCAAAGAACTGTTCTTTGGTTTTAATTTACCAACTAAGATGTGGTTACACTATGAGGTGATGTAATTGATTAATGATTTTTCAGACAGTCCTGACAACCAGTAGAAGAACATACCAAAACATGTTCACTAATCAAATGCTATTTTTGATTGCTTAGTATTTTGTTTGAATATGATTCGATCAATGGTAAAATTATTAATCAACATAATATCTTTTTCACAAACTGTCCTAATTAAAATTGAATTCATTTATCCGTGTATATAACGTGTCACATGTAACTTATTATGTTTTCTCTTCTTTAAATGGTATAAATCTATATCTTATTATTTTTTATATATATTTTTAAGAGTAAATTATGTTATTTTTAACAATCGGTAATCTTATGGTAAATCCTTTAGAAAACAATGTAACGTAATATTTTTAATACACTTGAATATAATATGTAAGCAGAATTGCGTGTTTTGAAACAAAATATTATGCTTCTATTTTATGTAGGTTTTTTATTACTGTTTAGCAATTATTTCATCCATATGCCATTCATTCTTAATAAAAAATACAGACATGTTTCTTACATATCGGCATTTTTAGGTATTATTTTCAAAATTCATATAACAATTTTTGCAGAAGACATAAACACTTTAAAACATCCTTAATAAAGTCTTTCTTAGTGTAACATTTTAAAAATTTCTACAACAGAATTCTTACTTGACTCGGTTTCAAAGATAAAATGAAGATCCTATTCAATGGCATACGAGCAAGCGTAAAAGTCTTTCTACATAAAAAACAAACAAATTGATGAGGATGAAAAAAAATCTTGAATAACAAGTTTTCAACACAACAATATCTAATGAATCTCTAAAGCTCTTGTTAACTGCGTTGTTACGGAAAACTTCCGATACATTAAAATGAATTGCAGTTGCAACTGCATTATTCCAAAGAAAACACACAAATGGATGTCTTTTTTTCTAACCTAGTGAATTAAATGCTTCAATTAAGGCTTCATATTTTCACTACAATGGACAAATGTTTGGTGAAATTTTCATATGAAATTTGTTTTAAATGAAATGGATTATTTTGAATGGTTTAACAATGTACGCGTGTCGATTTTCTGCAATCTGATGAAAAACCTGGAATAATATTCGCATACAAAATGCAAATATATTGAGAAAGTGAATGTGATTTCTGTATAAACTGGTTGTGATTATGTTAGTTTGTAAAATGAGTGTAGCCTACATAAAAGACAAGTTCTGTTTATGTACTTTTGTAATGCGTTCTGTGTTTTCTTTATAATCTGATCTCTTCCATGCTTATTTTTTAAAGTGAAATTTTCCTTTCAAATAAAAATTGAACATTTTGGTAATGTATAAGAGACAAAATATAATACGATAGAGACATTGTCTTGTTAATATAATACACGATATGTGTAAAAGTGACGAGCTATATTCAATATAAGGCAAGTAGCAAGTCACTAGCATTAAATTTTACTCATAATATAACTTTTCGTATCATCTAAATGTAGTATAATAAACAAAACTTAAAGGAACCTCTTTGAATATTTTGTTACAACTATGAGACATGTTTGTCTTCATTTCATCCATATTTATAAAGAGACGTATCATTGATTTTGTCTCTGGAAACAGTTGCTGAAACTCGCTGAAAATTCTTGTACAAGAGTAAAAGAAATGTCGTCGTCTTTATAGTTTCATCTTTAATAAATATACCTGTTAATGTATTAATAATAAGCAAGAATTGTATGCTGTTAACTATAGTCTGACATTTACGTTAGTACCGTACAGATACTTCTACAAAACAACATTACCCGTGTAATCATACGAAAATTTAAGTTAACTACATGTAGTTACATAGTAACATAGCTAAACCACTGTATTACCTATATCGTCAAAACTACAGCATTAGATTTCTACAAGCAGTTGCATACTTAGAATATTCTGGAACATAAAAATACGTTTTGTCAGTTTTGTTTGTACAGTTTCAAATTGTCTATATGTCCATGATTTATTATTATTATTCGAAATAAAAGAATTATTGATATCATACTTAACGTGTTTTCTTTTCTCAGCTCTTCAACTATTTTAACACATTTTGATTACATCATCAAATGCACAGATGTACTAGCAACAGACTGTGAATGTGTTTATATGTAGTTATAAAAGTTCTATCTAGTCTTACATCGGTAAAATGACTATAAAACAACAATTCAAAATATAACATTAAGTACACATATGAAGTAAATATCTCAAAACATCAATCACTGTATAAGCTGTCATTCTGCCATTTATCAAATTAAAAAAGCTTTCCAAAAGCTTGAACAAAATAGCTTATTAATCATAACATGGTTTAAACAGTACATAACTCAGTTGGGGTTTGCATTCGTTGCCTTGCTAAGAAGACAGTCTCGCTTTCGGTCTTTGTCTATATCATAGTCATAAAAGTGTCATCGTAAAAGACCTATTGTATTGTAATTAGATATTTACATAAGAAACAAAGGAAAAGCTTCTTAACTGATATATCATACATAATTCTTGTCTGTATGAAATTTATTTGCATCATTTAGGGTAGAACAACACGACCGGTAACATTTTTGGTCATCAACATTGTTCAGTTTCTATGTCACAATCATGATTTCTACTAATTAATCAACAATGCTAGAGTTTATGTTCAATATTTCTTCCCTAAAAAACATTCACATCAATGATTCTAAACCCTTATTGTTTTCTTCAAATTAACAAAAAGTATTTGATTCTTGTGGCAAACGATATAAAATAGATTGCTATTTATTCAGGAACTGCGTGCCGTATCATCATTCCCAGCTAAAATACAGAGAAATAAAAGATTAAAAGATCAAATTGTCCATTTAAATCTAAATTTATGACATTTGCTCCGTAATTAACAAAAACTCGAAACTGATACATTTACTGCTTAGTTTCTTGTTAAAACAGATAAATTTGAAGTAGTAGGAAACAGTCTTTCCATCTTTACTTATTTTGTACTAATAGACTTCATTAAATTGAAGCTGTTTCAAATTTCCAGGCATTTTCTTTTTATCTCCGATGCTTTCTGATGTAGAGGGTAAATGGTTTATTAAATTGCATTAATTAAACAGTATTTAATCATTATAAACTATTTGCTAGTAAATTATGAACATCTAAAGGCAAGCCTGCTAATACTAAAAATCTGCAAAGAATATCACGAAGTAGATTTGTGATTTTCTTTGTTATTGCACTAGGATAATAGTCGGAGTCATACTTTGCTTTATAAATTTGAAGGAGCAAACTCTTTTTACCAACAAGGTGATTCTTTGGACGTACCAAAACTGGCGATTGTCTGATATCTTCTTCCACCTGAAAATCTGTAAAGTTGGCATGAAAAATGTCGACTTACACTCGACTTAAATTATCAGTTATGTCATATTTTCTGTTATTTACATACGTATGTAATATCTTCTAATTATGTCTCAATGGCATACATTCAGCTACAGTGTTCATGTCAATTTTCAACTTAAACATCGTACAAATCTGAAACTCACATCAATGTTACATCTTCAATATATATGTCAATGTAATGTGCCAGAGAAAATTCTAAATATCGTATTTTCAATAAAGACCACATGTACCACTTAAAATGTTTCTAAAGTGAGATATAAATAACTTATCTTTAATAAATATCAATATACAATGTTTCTCAAGCGAGAAATAAACGTCGTAACTGAAACAAATATCACTTTATAATGTTTCTGAAGTGAGATATGACTTATCTACACATTTCAACAACGTTCTATCAACGGAATAATTTTGTATAACAATATCATTGTTATATCGTCAACACATAGCATGTAATATGTTCATATCGAAAGACATCCATTTGACAAACATATGCTTTATAAGTGTTATTATGATATACGATAGTAATTTATCATTGACATGCACTCGTACACAGGTAATATTCTCATGTTTTCCAAAATAAAACAACATTTGACTTACATATCATAAATTATTATATGATCTAAATATAGCTTCAATCTCATTGGTCCAGACAGTAGTCAACAGAACTTTTTATAAAATCATATTTACTGGGTGTAGTATCATATTCACTGGCTGAATTGGATTTTCCCAGTCTAAACATAGATTGAGACTCATATTCAATGATCATACACCTTATACTGTTAAATACGCGTGTTACTTAAAAAATAATTGTTGCTTTTTGTTCTTTGTGGCATATTTCTCGATTAAAATATAAATACATTACCATTTTACTTAAAAGCTACACCGCAATGATGAGTATAAACTTGAATTACTTTTGTATGCGCAGCGTTCGCGAAGTCGTTGCACGCCTAACACGTGCGTCTTTTTTCCCGCGCTTCAACGAGGCAAAATTTGTACATGTATATATAAGGTTGTACTTTTTGTGATTTTTTTATTTCTTAGCCTATTCATATAATAAAACAATTATTGACAAGTGAGCCATTGAATATGATGTGATATTCACCGGCAGAAAGTCATATTGACCTCGGCTATCGCCTCGGTCAATATGTCATCTGCCGGTAAATATCACATCATATTCAATGGCTCAATAGTCAATAATTGTATAATATCATATCTGTTTCCAAAATGACGGCAGTGAAATCACTTTCTATTGTATATGTTAAAGATCCTGTATGTTGTAATTAATGCTGTTACCACACTAAAATTAAATTTTATATATGTATACAATATGCTTCTTAAACAATTTTCAAACATTGAAAAATATGTAAAATATGTACCACAAATATTTGTCCACATTATATGTAATCATTCAAATATATGCATTCATTTCTGATTGAAAAATTTGACTTAGACTTGCTAGAAAATAAATTTTTTATTACCTCCCTTGATTAACATGAAATGTCAATTCGGTAGTATCTTTACAAATAATGCTTTTTGGAACTTCCAAAATTGATAAATCTCATTTGAACATTATATTTATGATATAAAACCATAAAAAAAAATTGTGTTACAGGATCTTTAAATTCACTTAAGGAAAATATTACAGTTGCATCGTTTACATTACTGTCACAGACAACATGTTTATTTTCAATTTAGAGAAGGTTCAGAGTAATTTAATCCGAGACAGTTCAAATTGCGTTAATTCAAGTATGCATACATGTATATATGTCCTTTGGCCAAAGTTCTTTGTACTTTGTAAAGTACATGTAGATTACCTTTGAATAAAAATGTTAAGAAGACAGGTTTCTCATCTAGAGCTTTAATCAGCTTGACCAGTGCTTTGTTTAGATAATGAATCCAACTTATTCGCCATAATTATGGATAGAAATATTTTTGGCAGATTTTGACCGTTTAAATGGTATAAAGCTTTTTTTTCAAATATAAATGTTTTTTATAAGTGGTAGAATTATAGCGTTTCGTAAGTCTCGAATCTGTTGTAGAAATTCTGTGTTATTAAAAACCACTCACACATACACCACTCAATTGTTCGAACATATTTCTATCATGTATTTTGAAGAATTAGTATTTTAATTCAAGCAATAATCAGTACCCATCATGAAGCAGATATATAGCTTTATACATTTTAATGTTATAATCGTATTGAACCGTGCAAATCAACTTTATGTGTACGTCAAGTATAATTGAAGGACTTTCATCAAATAAGTCAAGATGATTCCAAGATAAATTTTCAGTCGAGTTTATTATATGTAAAAGTCAACAGTATTAGATTCAACCAAAGTAG